ACCACCAATCACTCTGCAATGGAAATATGCATAAACTTTGGTTGAGAATTTAAAGCAGGTAAATATTTGTGGTCCCACTGTATGGAGAGACCAGTAACTGCACACTGCATTATTGATAGTACCTGGCATAGAACAGAAACCACAGCCTCCAATATGCAGACCTGCCAAGCTTTTACTTTGTCTGTACCTCTTCCCCCCTCCGCCCCACCTCCATCTCTTTTATTTTACAGTATTTAATGGGTTGACTCTAAAGTGCTATTCTTATCCAAACATAAGTTGCTTCACCACAAATTATTTTAGTATAAATTCTCAGACTGCTATGCTGACAAAACAAGGGAATATATTGCGAAGAAGGGGCCCAGTATGCCAGCACTACAAGTGCATGCAGAGGCGATCATCCTGACAGATTTTGTTTCTTTTTTGCTTCTTTCTTGTGAACAGCTGCTATTGTCAAGTTTGTATCTTTTCAGCAAAAACAAGGGACAGTGGCTGTATTCCCACGTAATGACAAGACACTCTGGAAGCTGCATAGACAGGGCTTGTCTTTATGTGTGAATTTAGCATCCATAAGCATGGTGCATTTGGTTTCCATGAAACCACATTGATAAACAACAGTTTGTAGTAAGAGTATTGTGTTTCACCATGGTTTGTGGTTACACGTGACTCACACTGTTACTGTGTGGTTTCCACATTTCTGCCATCGGGTTTGGCAGCAAGAGTTGCTACAGCTGCAGCAGATTTTCCAGGCTCCATTTTTGCTACCCTGTTTGGCCTAGCAACTGTTGAGGCAACTGCAGCTGCACTCTGATTGGCTGCTTCACACTGCTACTTTCCTCTGTCCATGCATGGTCTTCCAGATGCCCAGCTGCAGTTTTGAAATATCAGTGGAAGTGGGGTGTTGCACTGCCCCATCTCCAGCAACAGACACCCCTGGGAAACTCTGCCTGGCAGGAAGTGCTTGCCATGGGTACCCATGCTGATGCCCTCTGTGTGCCTAATTGCAGGTAGTGGGGCAGCCCTGGCAGCATGTGTAAATTCTGTGCAAGGGCCAGTGTGGACACATATGGAACAAGAGAGCGAGGGAGAGGGGTGTTTGTGTGCTTGCATGGCAGCAAACAGCAGGGAGTACCCACTCCAGTGACTTTGCCATGAAAACCCCATGGACAGTACCAAAAGGCAAAAAGATATGACACCGGAAGATGAGCCCCTCAGGTTGGAAGGTGTCCAATATGCTACTGGGGAAGAGCGGAGGGCTAGTACTAGTAGCGCCAGAAAGAATGAAGTGACTGGGTCAAAGCCGAAAGAACATTCAGTTGCGGATGTATCTGGTGGTGAAAGGAGAGTCCGATGCTGTAAAGATCTATACTCCATAGGAACCTGGAATGTAAGATCCATGAATCAAGGCAAGCTGGATGTGGTCAAACAAGAGATGACAAGACTGAACATCGACATCTTAGGAATCAGTGAACTAAAATGGACAGGAATGGGTGAATTTAATTCAGATGACCATCAGGTATACTACTGTGGACAAGAATCCCTCAGAAGAAATGGAGTAGCCTTCATAGTCAATAAAAGAGTAGGAAAAGCAGTACTGGGATACAATCTCCAAAATGACAGAATGATCTCAGTTCGAATCCAAGGCAAACCATTCAACATCACAGTAGTCCAAGTCTATGCCCAACCACTGGTACTGAAGAGGCTGAAGTTGACCAGTTGCCTACAATACCTAGAATTAACACCAAAAAATGATGTCTTTATCATCATGGGCGAATGGAATGCTAAAGTAGGAAGCCAAAAGATAACTGGAATAACAGGCAAGTTTGGCCTTGGAGTACAAAATGAAGCAGGGCACAGGCTGGTAGAATTTTGTCAAGAGAATATGATGGTCATAGCAAACACTCTTTTCCAACAACCCAAGAGATGACTCTACACATGGACATCATCAAACAGTCAACACAGAAATCAGACTGACTATGTGCTCTGCAGCCAAAAATGGAGAAGCTCTATACAGTCAGTAAAAACTAGACCAGGAGCTGACTCAGATCATGAGCTTCTTGTTGCAAAATTTAGGCTTAAATTGAAGAAAGTAGGGAAAAGCACTAAGCCACTCAGGTATGACCTAAATCATATCCCTGATGAATATACAGTAGAAGTGACAAATAGATTTAAGGAATTAGGTCTGATACAAAGAGTGCCTGAAGAACTATGGATAGAAGTTTGCAACATTGCACAAGAGGCAGCAACTAAAACCATCCCAAAGAAAAAGAAATGCAAGAAAGCAAAATGGCTGTCTGAGGAAGCTTTACAAATAGCTGAGGAAAGAAGGGAAGTGAAAGGCAAGGGAGAAGGATACACCCAATTGAATGCAGAATTCCAGAGAATAGCTAGAAGAGATAAGAATGCCTTCTTAAATGAACAATGCAAAGACATAGAAAGAAACAATAGAACAGGGAGGACCAGCAATCTCTTCAAGAAAATTGGAGATATGAAGGGATTGTTTCATGCAAAGATGGGCATGATAAAGGACCAAAATGGCAGGGACCTAACAGAGGCAGAAGAGATTAAGAAGAGGTGGCAAGATTCCACAGTAGAACTATACAAGAAAGAGCTTAATGTCCCTGATAACCACGATGGGGTGGTCACTGACCTTGAGCCAGACATCCTGGAATGTGAAGTCAAATGGGCCTTAGGAAGTCTGAGCAACAACAAAGCCAGGGGAGGCGACAGTATTCCAGCTGAGCTATTCAAAATCCTAAAAGATGATGCGGTAAAAGTGCTACACTCAATATGCCAGCAAATTTGGAAAATTCAACAGTGGTCACGGGATTGGAAAAGGTCAGTTTACATTTCAATTCCAAAGTAGGGCAATACCAAAGAATGTTCAAACTACTGCACCACTGCACTCATTTCACATGCTAGCAAAGTCATGCTCAAAATCCTACAAGCTAGGCTCCAGCAGTATGTGGACCGAGAACTACCAGAAGTACAGGCAGGAGTTCAAAGAGGCAGAGGAACTAGAGATCAAATTGACAACATACGCTGGATCATGGAGAAAGCTAGGGAGTTCCAGAAAAACATCTACTTATGCTTCATTGACTAGGCTAAAGCCCTTGATTGTGTAGATCACAACAAATTGTGGCAGGTTCGTAAAGAGATGGGAGTACCAGACCATCTTATTTGTCTCTTGAAAAACCTATATGCGGATCAAGAAACAACAGTGAGAACTGGACACAGAACCACTGATTGGTTCAAAATTGAGAAAGGAGTTCGGCAAGGCTGTATACTGTAGCCCTGCCCATTTAACTTATATGCAAAGCACATCATGAGAAAGGCGGGCATTGATGAATCACCAGTTAGAATTAAGATTGCCGGGTGAAATATTAACAACCTCAGATATGCAGACGATACCACTCTAATGGCAGAAAGTGAAGAGAAACTATATAAAGAGCCTCTTGATGTGGGTGAAAGAGGAGAGTGCAAAGTTGGCTTGAAACTCAACATTAAGAAAACTAAGATCATGGCATCCGGTCCTCTTACTTCCTGGCAAATAGATGGTAAAGAAATGGAGGTAGTGACAGATTTCATTTTCCTGGGCTCCAAGATCACCGCAGACGGGAACTGCAGTCAAGAAATTAAAAGACGCTTGCTCCTGGGGAGGAAAGCTATGGCAAATCTAGACAGCATACTAAAAAGCAGAGATATCACCCAGACAACAAAGTGTGTATAGTCAATGCTATGATTTTCCCAGTTGTAATGTATGGCTGTGAAAGTTGGACCATAAGGAAGGCTGAGTGCCAAAGAACTGAGGCCTTTGCATTGTGGTGCTGGAGAAGACACCTGAGAGTCCCTTGGACTGCAAGGCAATCAAACCGGTCAGTCCTAGAGGAGATAAACCCTGACTGCTCTTTAGAAGGCCAGATCCTGAAGATGAAACTCAAATACTTTGCCCACCTAATGAGAAGGAAGGATTCACTGGAGAGCCTAATGGTGGGAACAAGTGAAGGCAAAAGAAGAAGGGGACGGCAGAGAATGAGGTGGCTAGATGGAGTCACTGAAGCAGTTGGTGTGAGCTTAAATGGACTCCAGGAGATGGTGGAGGACAGGAAGGCCTGGAGGAATGTTGTCCATGGGGTCGTGATGGGTTGGATACGACTTTGCGACTAACAACAACAACTCCTGTAGCACTACTCTAAAGCAGCAGTGCTACTCTAATGAGCAGGCAGTTTCTTTGAAGAGCAGTAGAAAACAAAAAAGAAAAATATGCAATCAGCTGAGACCATGCTGGGTGGACCAATAAGGGGGAGACAGGCAAGGCGGGCAGGAGCAGTGCACCCTGGGTTTGATTTTCAGCCATGGGGCTGATGGGATACATGCCACCATTTGAAGGAAAGATGGGGAAACACAAAAACCATGTATGCATAGAAACAAATATGTGAACCCAGGACACAAGGTAAGATATGAAGCCACATGGTCACCATATGGTGTTGTTTAGTGTTGTGTGAGAGCATAGCCAGTGTATGACACAAGCCATAACAAGAATGCTTTACAAAACATTTTTGGATTGGTAGGCACATTAAAAATTTGGAAGTGTCAATGGTGCTCTCATAAAATAGCAGCCATAGAGAAGGACTTGTACATTCATAAAATGGCTGCTGCGGTGGGCATGTTCTGCTACAAAATATTAGGTCCCCAGATGGTAACCTAATGAGACTAAAAAACATGCTAATCAACCTAATAGAAAGCAGGCAGGCTGGAGAATGCTGGGATTTATAGTCCAAAACATCTGGAATACAGGAGGTATCAGTGCTTACCACGGTTCATAGCTTCTGCACCACACATACCTTCATATTTGGATCACTTAGGGATATAGGTAAAGACAGCATAGAAAAAATAATAGGAAATGAACTGCAGATAATAAGCATAATGCAATATCCCTTTTAAAAAACTTCACACAGAAAAAAATCTCTGTACAGTGATGAATAAGCCATTCTTTTACTTACCCACACATTGGTTGTTTTCATTCATTTGGTAACCAAACCGGCAAATGATAGGAGCTCTTGCAGCAGTCGGATAATTGGGAGCGGGAGCAGGAGCGGGAGGTGGTGGGTATATGCTAGATGTATAAGGATTCATATAGGGTGATCGATAAACAGGGTTTGTTTGTGGAATACATAAATAGCCACCATTCTGGTTAACGCACACCATATCTCCCCTACAGGCCTCAGCAATAGTCCGACATTCATCAACATCTAAAAGAGTGCAAACATGGAACAGTCAGTACAGCTCTCTACTAAAGTTGTTTCTAGTTGATTAACCAACCGACTGCTGTTTAAATAAAGTATCTACATTTTATCAATTCATCATTAATTAGATTTAAATACATTCATATTATAAAATATCTGTGTTTCTAAGGCATTATAATAGGTTTGAGATGACTTATATGAGTCCTACTGAATCAGACGAGAGCCTTATTCAGTCCAGTATTCTGTACACTCAGTGACCAACTAGATGCCCCAATGGATATTAATGCCATAGCACGTTCAATGTTCCCACAACTGGTATATAGAGTAATAACAAGCTTTCTATACAAGACATGTATTGTGTGCTCGTGATTTCCAAATCTTGGTTGTTTTCATATTCTTCTGACAACATCATGAACCTCCAGTTTTGCATCTGTACCTACTCAGCTCTTTTGGAGAATTTTTGCAGCAATTTTTAAATGTGGGATTTAATTGTGAAAGAGAAAGAAAGAGTGATTTCCCCTTATGTATTTGCATTGTTCCACTATATTACAATGCCACCTAGAGTTTATGTAGCAGAAAAACAGGAATAGAAACACTCTTCATGTAGTGCTCAGACCTCCATTCTGTGATGAAACCAAAAGTGGGAAAGTTCAGTGTCTCTGATGCTTCTGTAATATGCTGTACAGCCATCGTAACTAGTAACCATTATGGACAGTCTTATCCTCAATGAACACTGTTTATAGCTGGGTGCTGCAGAAGCAAGCAGTTAACTAAAGAGAATCACAACCCCACTGCTTCCTCTACTGGATCACAGTTCTTTTCACAAATAGAACACTCTAGATCCAACCAATTCATGTGCTCCTATTCAGCATGATCCAGTCTTGTTCATTTGATATTAATCTGAAGGCTCCTTGATGTCTCCTTTGTCTTGTGCTGTGAGGTGGGCTGTTTCTCATACATGCAGTGCATGGTTTTACATAGCATGAAGTAGTACTGCAATATTCCACAAACTGAAATAACACTAGTGAAGTTCCATTGAATTCTATTTTGTGAGTGGCTGCACATTACACTCATGCAAAATGGTTGTGTAAGTGGTTGCAGAACCAATGGCACAACAGATTGCACTACTATCACAAACAACCAGTTGCACAATGAGTTGTGCAAGTGTAATGTACAATCACTTCTATAAATGTATTTTTAGTTGGATTATCCTCTTTAGCATAGTTCAGAACCTCATTTCTGCTAGAGTAGAAACCCTACTGGTGGTCTGATACAATGGGATACTGCCTCTAGAGCCCCCTTTGTATCATTTTGCAATGCCATTGCTAAGAAGTCATCTAATTGTACATAAAATCTAGACATGTGTTAAAATCTATGCATGCATTCAGGATGAAACTATGTGACTAAAAGTCTCCTCTACCTTTCACAATTTTATTACATATTAAATCAGCCCAAACCATACGGACAGAGCAGTCCAGCATATCTTACTCTTAGATAACCAGTATAAAAGATCCAGGTTCAATTTCCTTCTAACCTGTAGATTCATTGTTAATTACAAATACCTTACAGCCTGCTCCTGCTAACAAATTTGTTCAAGCTACAGCATCGGGATACAAATTTCAGGTTGTGTTTCCCTACCCTCCCTAGACACTGATGGTTTGATTTGGCAGCTGTGAAACTTGGCTCTTGATCTAGAACTCCAAGCTTCTTTTACACTCTTGCTTGCATAAACATAGATACAGGATGTTAAACTTCGAGGATTTGTTTCAGATCTCCTCTTAGCTCTTACCAACATTTGAAGTCCTTTTATGTTATACTGAACTGACTTCAGACAGATACAAACTGATTAATAAGATCAGAGGGTGACTACCTTTCTGGAGAACACTTCCATTTGGAGGAACATGGCCATTTTGTTATTTGACCATATGTGTGCACATGTGTCCATTTTGTGGTAAATATCACAAATGCTAATGTGCACTCATATATTATAATAATAAGATAGAACTCCTGGCTTCTCATATGATTAACAAAATCCACTAATCCAAATTCCTAAAGCAGTTTTCTCTAATGTGCTGGACAACAAATCCCATCAACCCTGGGAAAGGCTGCCTTTGGGTATCTGTGGGCATGATATCAAACTCTCACTGTAAGCATCTCTATTGCACTCACACTCCTAGATAGCCACCATTAACTAAGGTGAAGATACCCACTTCAGGCGGTAGATTTGGGGTACTATTAAAGGGCAGAAAACTGCCAATTATTTAGTTGATTATTATTATTTTACCACAATGGTTGGATGCTTTTTCTGCCCGAGGCACCATGCTACCTTTAACTATGTCTCTATTTACCACAAATCAATGATTTTACAGCAGCCTTTTGAGAGCAGCACTTCCATTTTGCAGTGTTTCAGTCCATCCAGATTTATGTTATTTACAACAGCTAACACAAATGTCATGCTTAGCTGCCAACTTCTCAGCTTTCTCTGAAACCCAAAGCACTAAAAATACAGGAAGCAGGCCAACTTGACTGATCCAACTTCTGTCAGATAAATCCGGTTTGCTACTGGCTGCTTCTTCTTCCTGTTTTGTCTCTTTGGTTCAGAAATCTCAGTTTAGAAAAAAACAAACAAACTGGTGGCCATATTTGATGCCATGAAATTAATACAAGCTTTGATTGGTGAGTGTGGATCTAGGAGCTTGTTTTTGCTGCAGAACTGAAATCTGCACTACATGAGGAACATTTCCATTCCTGCTGTTCTGCTAGATAACCTCAAGGTGGCACTATGCAGTAGCAGAATAGTGCAAGTAGACAAGAATAAATCACAATTTATTTCACTTACACAATTTCTTTACTTTAAAAAAAAACCTCTCTGAAAGTGTTTGTTAGACATAGAAGTGAAACAGAAGTGAAACTTTAAACATGACATTGCTTGAAGAACTCATGAACAACCATAAGTAGAGAACAATAAGCATGCAATAGATGATGGTGACACACGCGCTGGTGACTTCCTGTCTTGACTTCTGTAATGCGCTTTACGTGGGGCTTCCCTTGAAGACGGTCTGGATACTTCATTTGGTTCAAAATAGAGCTGCCAGGTTGCTGATGGGGATGGGGTGTTATGTTCACATGACTCCAGTCCTCCGTCAGCTTCACTGGCTTCCCATTGAAGTCCGGGCCCAATTCAAGGTGTTGGTGATGACCTATAAAGCCCTAAACGGCTTGGGTCCTGGTTACCTGAAGGAGCGCTTACATCCATATACGCCCAGCCGCCCCTTGAGATCTGCGGGAGAGGCTCTTCTCCGGGAACCCTCCATGAAAGGAATTAGGAGGGTAGGTACTCGGAGGAGGGCTTTCTCTGTGGTGGCGCCCAATCTATGGAATGCACTCCCCAGAGAGGTCCGACTGGCGTCATCGTTATTTGTTTTTTGGTGCCAGGTGAAGACCTTTTTATTTAAACGTCATTTTAATTGTTAACAATATTTGCTTATTTATTTGGCCAGGGCGACTTCTTTTACATTGTTATTTATTTTATATTGTTAATTTTATATTGTTATTTTTGTATTTTATTGTATTTTATTGTGTTGTAAGCTGCCCCAAGGCTTCGGCAAGGGGCGGCATAGAAATGTATAAATAAATAAATGAATGAATGAATGAATGAATGAATGAATGAATGAATGCCTTGTGTGGAAAAGCTATAGGCCTCTAGAATCCAAATCCAGCAATCTGATTATTCATTTTTCCCATCACACCCAATTATTTGAATCTAAATATGGTCACTAGAAAGTAGCACATCAACTTAATACCCTGAACCAGACATTTCCATTTTGAAATACATAAGCATGAATAAAGAGCTTTCACCAAAGATAGTACATGTAATGAGCTGCTGAAGCCTAATTTGAAGGAGCTGATACAATAAAATTCCTACCTAGGCATTGGCCTGAGGCACGGTCCATCTCAAATCCATTTGAGCATTGTTGCTAAAAAGAGAAAAGAAAAGGTCAGTGGAAAATTGGAAGAACGCAAAACTACAAATCAGAGGAATTATTCTCACTCCCCTTGGTTCCCCAATTTCATACTGAGTTCAGAAATTTTTTAGCACACATTCTAACTTAAAAAGCTCATGAGTGAACTTGCATAAATGAAGCACAAGAACAAAGGAAGCAGGGGGATACATATATGTGATGCACACATGTTAATAATACATGTGAAAAGGATTTAGGAGTCTTATTCAGCAATCCTATGGCCAGTATGCTGCTCCTCCCACTCTGTACTGGGTGCCTGCAAGCTTCCACTTTCAAAGGCTCTTGAGAAACTAGGGTGCAGTTGCGGGTGCTCTTAGCTGACTGCATGCTGAACATGAGTGACTACTGTGGTGCAGCTGCTAAATATAATCTTAGCATTAATAGTATCTAAGCACTTAGACCACAAGAAATAAGATGCCCTGTTCAGCTGTCCAGTTTGATGGCCCCACCCACTCAAAAACAACACATGCTGATTATACACCTTTAGCCAATGCACGAACAGCTCAATCTGTGGGAAACTCCCATATACATGCATGGAGTATTTCTAACACAGGGATGGGAACTTTGCTCAGTTATGGTCTACGTATCCTTGGAAAAAATCCTGTGTGTGCAGAAGCACCCCCCACGGTCCCTCCACTTCAAACTGACATGCTTACATACTGGCAAAAGTATGGCTGGCATGCACAACATCATGCAGGTGCTGAATGCCTGAATAGGTCAGGAGGCATCTTAAGCAGTATGCCCAGCTCTGGTACTTAAGCAGAGCCTGGATGGCCATTTATCAGGGATGATGTAGCTCATAATTGGTGATCTTGAGTTTAGCAAAGAGTTGGACTAGATGACCTCCAAAGAAACGTCCAATTCTAAAATTCTATGATCCTATGCTGCAACTCCTAGACCCTGAACACAAGGATTGTGTGTTTTTAGTACTAGAGTTAAGAAGGTTAAACCTAAGCTTACTCTGTCAGTAAAACTGTATCTACTGAGTTAAAAGGACTGATGCAAAATAATCTCACACATTTTGAGCAGGGTTTATCAGTTGCTAACTGGATTTCATCATCTCCCAAAATTTTGGTGTCCTTTTAATTCTGATTTCCTTTTCAGAGAAGGACACAAAGAACAGAGAAATTAAAGAATACACATTTTGTGTGTTTAATTAAAAAACTAAGCCAAAAAAACCCCTAAGCAAAAAATGAGCTTGCTGTAATTCAGTGTAGTTCAAAATACCAGGTGGCTCAGTGGAATTGTTGGCTTCAGTTTCTCCAAATTCCACTGTGCATCTTCTGGCAGACCATTAGAGGATCTTGCTGGGTGAACATGAGGTCTTCAGAAGACCACCCTCTCTCCCACCTCTTTCCCAAATTACTCTAGCATTTACCATTGGCAGTGTTCAACCCTCCAAATACAGCACTCCACCATTTAAGAAATGAGCTTGTTTAAAGAACACAAAACTAATAGTTGTGTTATTTGGCCACATGTATGCATTTGTTCTGTAGAAGGGATTTTCAGGAATGCACCCATGTATCCAAAATGACACAGTGGAACTCCCTTTTTATTGACATAAGCTCAACCCCTTTGGTGCAAGCATCTAGATGAGCCCTAAAGACTTTGCTTTGTAAACTCACTATCAGTCAGTTGCATTCGTAACTGACTTGTGTCCAGAACAGCTTCACAGAGTATTCCACATGCTTCTACTACGGCTGTTATGTCTTGTATGGCTGATTGTTTTTTATGCTGCTTTATCAGGGCATAGCCCTGAAAACTGGCCAGAAGTTACTTTGAATGCATAAATCTAACTATTGGTGTGTTTAATTTTACTGTATATTCCCTTTGTAACAAAACCAGGAGCATCATTTAGAAAGGTAGGAAGCATTGTTAAAACTATTTGAATTAGTAGCACATATTCTTAGTTATTGTGCAGTAGAGAGGATTGGAGAAATCTACTTGAGCAACACCAAATGTAAACAAAGTATAAAAGTTATATGATCAATATCTATGCCTGACATAAGATGATTTATACATATGGCAATGGGGGGAAATTAAGATGCATTTATTTTTATTAACTGAAATGACATTCCTTTCAATCAAAAGGACTGACTTATTAATCTGTTATTTTACATTACAGTGAACACACTAAGAATTTTTGTTTACATTCACAAGGCAGTTAAAAAAAAAAGAACTTATAGCTCGGTCTCATTCTACAGTCTGCAGGCATAGTTTCTTAGCATCACAACTGAAGCGACTGATGATGCATACCACTGAACGTGGGCTGAGCTATCAGTTGTCTCTATTCCTATAAGCTTTAGTTGGGTGGTGTCTCTCTTTTAAAGTTTAAAAGAATGTTCTTCCATTTATCAATTCATTAGCTATTTTTTTCTTTTGAGGTGCGAAATACTTTTTAATTACATAAGCACTTTGGTGGGTAAGTGGTTTTAAATGTCATATTGTTGTTGCTACTGCCATATAAACTTTTCAGTGGCCAGATGATTATTTATATTTATTATCATTCTTGTTTTAAAATGACTGCTTAAATAGTTTTATTGGTAATTTGATTAATTTGTTTAATGTTATTTATCTACTTTAACTATCTTATACTTTTATTATTATTTTATTGTTAAATTGTATTGTTTTACTGTTGTTTTATTCTTTTATGTAAGCTGCCCTGAGAGCCTTTGGCTAAGAGGTGTGGCATATAAATGTAATGAATAAATAAATAAATTCATTCTGCGGATGGGTGGCTTTTGACAGAAGTCATCTAATCAGTACCAGCATCAGCTTAAAACCTGCAAAAGTTTTTAAAGGATGAGTTAGGGGGGTTGGTTTCAGCATGGTCTCTCTGCTCTAAAATGTGTGTTTTGCCTCCCTTCACTGAAAAGGCATATTAGCATGTATAAGACTAGTTACTTAACTTGTTCCTCTGCTTAAAACAGCAGTTCCAAAGATGTTTCCATTAAAACACACACAAAGACTCAGGTCTTCATTACATATATCTGCATGTAACAAGCATTTTGCTTTGGACTTAGAAGAGAAACCAATGTGTCTCTCCAAATATTTTAGGGCTTAATTGATTTAGTATTTGTTTCTGCGTTCCGAGGAGGGACTGGTTTTTGTTTTGTTTTCGCTTCTTAGCTATAATGAACCTTGGAAACTTCTTCAGAGAGAAAAGCAATTTATACATTTTATAAAATACTAGACAGTCTTTTTTGATGTACAACTTTGTTACAGTCCTTGAGGTATGTACTTCTGTTCCGCAGATGCTTGACTGCATAATGTAATTTAATTACATCATCCTGCCTAGACTGCACTGCCTGCTACATTATTGACTGTAGGTTCAAAAGCAAATGACCTAACAGGGGGATATGTGTGTGTGTGTGTGTGTGCGCGCGCGCGCGCATGGGGGGGGATGGATGGATTGTACCTGAGATTGGCCTTGAAGACTGTTCAGAAGCTGCAGCTTGTGCACAATGTAGCAGCCAGATTAGTAACTGGGAGCAGAAGGTCTGAACCTGTAACACCAATTCTGGCTTGCTTGCTTTAGCAGCCTATGTGCTTCCAAGTACAATTCAAGGTGTTGGTTTTAACATATAAAACTCTACATAGATTGAGACAATACTGCAGAAAACCTCTTGGATTTCTGACCTCAATCCAACCAGACCCTATGATCTGTATTTGAGACCTTCTTCCAAATGTTAACTCCCAAGGAGCTCCAAAAAGAGGCAAAAGGGAGGGGGCCTTCTCAGTGGTGTTCCACAACTGTGAAATAGTATCTCCATGGAGGCCCACCTGGTGCCCATATTGTGATCTTTTTGAAATCAAGTTAAAACTACTCTCTATTCTCAGACATTTAATGTCATTCAATGTTATATGATGGGTTATGTTAACGCTTATAATTAGATACAGTTTTATTGTAATTATTTATATATGTAAACTATTTTACATTTTTGCATATTAGAATTTGTATTCTGGAATGTTATACTGTGTTTTATTGTTTCCATATTTTATTCTACAGTATCTCTTCTGTATTTTGAGAAATTCATGTGAACCCCCCCCCCCCCCCACAGACAGCATCAACCATTGGACAGTATAGAAATAAATAAATAAATAAAGATTGATGTGGTGTAAGAACACGAGATGAGAGACAGAAGAGGTGCCACACGCATCCGCACACAAGGGGGGGTATCTCCATGCCACGTGGGGCTTTGGCCCCATCCATCATCAGCAATTCATCCCTGATTACTTGCCCCAAGCAGCGGTCCCCAACCTTCTGGGACATGGTGGTTGCATTAGAGGGCCACATCTTAAATCAAAATGTAACAAAATTATTAACCTACTGATTTAGATCAGAAGTAAACATTCAGAGGTCAATGAAGAAATGTTAACTTGAATGCAATCCATTCTGGAACAATATTTTACTGTGGAATCCCTTATCTAGCTACACTTGCTTACCTAGTCAGTGTGATTTTTGTGGCTGTTTTCTGTTAGCCAAGGCATTAATGTCTAAGTCAAGGTTTGTGACAGACACTCTAAAATGTCATGTAAATGTTAATCTGTAAGTCTTGACCTACACTTGGATTTCACAAGTTTCATCCTGGAAAAAGTTTGTTCATAGATGTATGAACTGAACATACCTGAAGCAAATTTCTTTAGATCGGTAACTGTATCAGGTAGACCACAACAGAAACCTAGAAGTCTATTTTCTTTGTAAATGTCTCTTCCTTACACACATGTATAGCCTTCACATAGTAATGCATGGAAAGCAGGAGTGAAGAAGCTGAATGGTACGGGTACTTGAGGCCAAAATGGCCAAAATGCTAGTATGGAGGATAAGACCAAGAGGAGGCTTACAGAAGAAATCATGGAGACCAAAGAAATAATGTCACTAATGTGTTTTTTGTAAGAAAGGAGCAGGAAAAACAGCAGTAGGTGGCATTGGTTCAGGCAGGGAAAATGCTGTTAGCATGATAGCAGTAAACCAGCAGGGCTGCACAGAAAGAGGGGTGTGTGTGCAGGCAGCCCACATGCTGCAGGTTGGGGACCCCTGCCCCCAGGGAATGCAGCCCTAGATCTTAATAGAATATTCCCCACTCTGATTTTAGGGCATGATTTTTGACAATCCTGTTGCTCAATTTCTGAGCAGCAGGAAGATGTTCTAAGATTGCCTTGAAAACTTCATGACTCTGAGTACAGTATGTATTGGAGTAGAATAGGTGATACTATCTTTTACCAGCTCAGCATATTTATCCATCCCGCTCTGAAGAGTATCTGGCTAGTGGTAGTACTTTGGGATCACCTGCAAACTGATCCTTTCGTACAGAGAAGCCATGGTCTGAACTTGGTGACCTACTGCTGAAGTATGGGAGCGCAGCAAAAATGTCAAGCCCTTTACTTTGTTTACTTATTTTGCCAAGTTGATGGAGAATAAATGTTCAACTGATTTTAAGATCCAATTATGTCTGGATCTATGTAATCTCAATCTATTATTGTACTGTATGGATTCCTGGTCTCTCTCTTTCCCAGCCCCCAGTAATATAATCTCTTGGTATGCAAAGGTGACATTTTGGCACATGCATATATATCTCACCTGTGTCCTCCCACGACTTATAAGGCAGCCAGCCACCAAGAAAACGGTCAATATCCTGAAACAGGAACAGAAACTTTATGCATGGTCACTCTGTGGAACTGAGGTGAGAATAAACCAACCATTTTCTGATATATTCTATTGCATTAAGAGGTACACCAGAGAATAGTTTAGTATTATTTGAGAACAGGTTTTTGACAACGAGCATACTCTAAATGTCAGAAGTCATATCCTGGAATAATTCATGGGACCAGATATTAAAGTCAGGTCCCGAATATCCAAAAGTTAACGGAGTATTCTCCAAGCTTCCAAAAAATATACACAGCCGCATGAGAGTAGCTGTGTAACTGAGAGCTACACTATGCATGACATGTGGGTGTGTATATTTTTTCTCTGAAACTTAAAACAATAGTTCTGAGAACCAGCTTCTGGAAGCTGTGAGTTTCAGTAGAAGTACGACAAAACAGCAGGGGTGCCTTATTCCTTCCCCTTCCAGTTATTTTTCTGCTCAAGATGCTCTGTTGTCCTGCTGTTACTTTTCACTCTGCAAAGCAAAACACATGATTACCCCCCTTTCTTTTGCCACCCCGTAATCAAATTAAAAGCAAATCTGCATGTGTAGAAGTAACTAAGCAGGGGGCAATGACTGAGATGAAAGAAGTTAAACAACTCTTCCTCACTGAACCATTTCTTCACTGCAACTAACAGACTTTAAAAAAAGAAAAAGTCAAAGAATATATATGTGGCTGTGTGCAATGTGTCTCAAAGGTACTTTCTCCTTTTAAACAGAAACTGGAGGCATATTTTATTCTTGCAAATGTTTACTTTGAGATATATAAGGATAATTAGAGAAGCCCCATCCTCTTTCTTTCTGTACAAGTCACTGGCTGTGTTCACACATAACAACAAGCCATGCTGGAAACCAGGCAAGGAGAGCTTGTTGTTACGTGTGAATTCAGCATTCATGGTGAAGAGTGCCACGTTTGGTTTCCATGAATACCCATGGAAAAATCAATGCTTTGTTGTAAGTTTTCCACACTTTACTATTGCTTGATGTTGCATGTGAATCCACTTTTTTCTGTGGTTTCCACATTTCTGCCATCAAGTTTGGTGGCAAGAGCAGCCACAGTGGCAGCTGACAGTCCAGACTCCATTTTCCACAGGCTTGATCAGCCTAGCAACTGCCTAGACAGATGCACCCATGCTCTGATTGGCTTCCTTTTGCTTCGTTTTCCCTGTCTACACAGAGCTTTCTTGATGCCCACCTGTAGCTCTGGAATATCAGCAGTGGGGCATTGTGCTTCACCTCCTCTAGCAGCAGTGACTTTGGACACAGGGATACTTGGTGCTCCTGTCTGGTTGTTAATGTTCGCTTGATCAGCGCTTTGAAATGGCAGTATCTTTGCTCTACTCTTAGAGCTATTAGTCTCCTCTAGTGAAAGCTGCCCTACAAAAAAAGAAGCACACAGCCTGCATATGGGCATCATCAACAGGGTGCTTGTCCTGAGAAGCCCAGGTCCCCTGCAGTCTCCTAGCTTCCCCACTGCTGCTCTCTTGTCCTCATCATTCCTGAGGATTCCCAACAAGCCTTACTATTCCCCATCCCACCTCAGCTGCAGGACAAACACTTTCTTGGCACACAGTCAGAAATACTTCCTGGACAGATGCCTAGATAGGCACCCTTAGGAAAGAAGCACTCCTGGCAAGAAGCACTCCTGCTGTCCCTCCACAATTGCCCATGCTTATGCTTCCATGTGCCTGGCTATAGAGGAGAGGTGGCTCTTGGTGGCACGTGTGAGCCCAGTGAATTGGGGAATACGGACACATGTGCAGTGAGGTGGGGGGAGAGGAAGGTGGGTGTGCTTCCACACAGGCACAAAGCAGGGCAGCAGCAGGGAGTGATTGGGGGATGCTTCTCTTGTGAGTTGGCAGTTGCTTTGTTAAAGGGGGGGGGGGGAGCAGCTGGCTAAGGCCATGCCCAGGAGACCGCGTGGGCCAATGAGGGAGAAGTGGGCAACACAGGGAGGAGCAGTGCACTCTGGGATTGCTTTTGAGCCACAGGAGCTGATGTGATACATGTTGCCATTTGGAGGAAGATGGAGAAGCATGGAAACCATGCAAATTTGTGAACCCAGGACATAAAGTAAGACATGTCATACCATTACTATGTTTCATAGTTTAGTATTATGTATGAACACACCCACTATGTATATTGTCTGAGTGCAAGCAACTGAATGACACAGAGACATTACCACTTCATTTCAGGGTTCAATTTAAATTGCTACTATTATTAACATTTAAAACTGTCAATGGTTAGAGGTCAAAACTTAAGGGTTGCCTTCAACAATATCAATCTACCTGAGCCTTAAGGTTGGCTAAGGGCGTTGGTCAGAGAGTCCACCAGGCCTAAGAGACCTGGATTTTTCAGTAAGGGGCCCATATTTATGGAACTCCCTTATTTTTTGCTCCCTCCCTCATTTTTTGTGATGAGCTGACCTTATAAAGGTGTTATACTATATTGGTATATGAACGTTTCTTAAGGCTAGCACATCCACCTTTGTTTTTCATTTATTTTTCTCAGTATGCTAACTGTTCTTTTACAGCATGCAGCTTGGGATTTGCTAGGTCTCTGTCCTGTGTTAAATGAGGGATCAGCTTTCCACAACTCCCATCCTCCCCACCACATAGTTCTTCTGTCCATGCTCCAATGAAATAAGATTGATTACAAAAGCCTGATAACTGCATAAGATGCAAGAACACTTTGTTGTATCCCTTTCTCCAACCTGGTGCATTCCAGATGTGTCAGACTGCAACTCTCACCATCTCAAGCCACAATAAGTTGGGGAAGCTGTTGTGTTGGACTGCACCTATATAAATGAATGTAGCTGCTAAGCTTATTAAATGAGGATATCTGATGGAGACTGAGGTCTTTTTATTATTGATTGCTTGACCAATAATAATTATATGCTCTTAACATTTCTAAGTACAGTATAAACAGAAAAGAACTTTGAGAAAACCATTACTACCTCTGCTTCCAAAGTTTAGAATGCCCAGGGGATGCTGACAACACATTTCTCATTTCTCCATATTAAAGTCTGTTTATTTTAGAATGGGAAAAAAGTGATGCTTCTTAAAACCTTCAGAATACAGGAATAAAACATAGCAAAACTAAGCAAATCCCTCAGCTAGAAATCCTGCACAGGATTTATCAGGCATTTCAGTCAAACTAGAAATGCCTGATAGAGTCACTCTCCAGAGGCATTGCATCTAATACATTCTGAAATGCTATGTCACCCATCAGTTAATTTTGCACCTTGTCTATGGATTTCCAGAAAGCTTTCCAGAGAGGTTTCATAGAGATTCATTTCACAGAGCAAGCAAAAGGAAAAATTAAGCTGTTGCATACATTTACTTGGCAGCAAACATGTTTGCCACTTAGTGTGCAAGCTTGACAGAAAATTGCAGGCAGTCTTAGCTCCACAACAAGCATACCAGTATGACACACAGGTTCCCAAACACATGCTAGTTACATGCACACATCAAAATGCCTTAGGAATGCACCCCAAGTGTAATGTGTGAACATAAAGACCTACCCTGCTGGATTGGGAACCTTGATTCCTACAACTGCCAGCCAGAGGTAACCAAGAACATCTCAAGCAGGGCCTGCAGGCAACAGCCCTTTCCTGTTGCTTCTGTATTCCAGGGCAAATTTAATCACTATAGCCACTAGCCCTTGATAAACCTACCCACCTGAAGTAGTCCCAAGAAAGCTCCCTTGCTCTCCATTTAAATGACTACATATAAAATCCTGCTAGCTGTATTTGCTGGGTGAAACTGTTGGAGGTAGAAGGATCTTTAGAGAAAGCAATCAAACCTAACAAAAAAAAAATAGTTATGAACTGAAAGATTAAGCCTTTGGCTTAACTCCTTATTTCTTCCACCTCTGCTAAAACTACACCTAAGTGCAAGTAACTGAGTGTGTGCATATTCTACTCTCATCTTTTCTCCCTCTGTCCCTCTATTTCAGAATGTAGATTGTAAATTCCTTGGGGCAGGGATCTGTTCTTGCTTTGCTTTTGTTATTCTGGTAAACTCAGTTTACACAGATGGTGAAATAATATTAACAACAAACATTAACTTACTGTGATTTTTCTATATCGTTTCAGTATCTTAACTTGGCTTTTAAAAGTAATGTTTTAAGGTTTGCAAAACAACAGACTGTTCCCTTTTAAATTTCATCTGCAATGAGCTCTTCAGCACGCTTATTCTAAAGGGAGGTATAAACGGATAAAGTGATCAACTACCAATACAATTTCCAGTTAGAGGGGCTGATTGAGCCAACAGTTGTAATATTGCAAATTGTACAACAAACAAGACTTCCACAGGGGTGGGGGGGGATTACATTTTCAGTTGCTGGACCACAAAAGAGCAAGATAAAGTGCAAGCAGAAATAATGGTAGTGGTTTGTGTGATATCATATATAACTAAAGAGTCCTGTGTTTCCCGTCTGGTCCCCTCCTGTTAATTTTCAGACAACTTGAACAAGTTGATGGAATGAGTAGCCTTAGCAATTGACTGCGATCTGCATTTAGCGAACCGTCAGAAAAGAAACCTGCAAATTCGTATGAAGTAGACAGCACCTACCTTTTTAATCCTGTCATGTCCAACAGTGATGAGGGAGGCTGAGGGAAGAAAAATAGTGCCCGCACAGCAGAATAGCTATAAAATAGTTCTGTACATTCAACCTTTTGCTAGAACTTCAGTCCTGCCATCATTTATATTACGGAAAATGAAAGACCAGATCATAGAGAAACAGAGGAAAAGAGAGAGAGACAGAGACAGAGAGAGAGAGAAGGGGAAGGAAGGAGGAGGGAAGGAAGGAGGGGAGAAGAGGGAAGGGAGAAGGAGAGGTCTGCTCCTCCTCAGACACTGGAGAGAATACAGCGAAAGCACCTGGTTTTGCTTAGTTCTCTTCTGTAATTCAGCATTAAACCAATTGGAAGAGGAATGTTAAAAATGAACACTTCATTTTCTAAGTATGTTAAACAATGCAAATAGGAGGCCACAGTCTGGAGACAGCTGGTTTAGATTAGCGAGCTCACCAACTGGCTAGACTCCTCACAACACTCCTGAGGAGCCTGCCAGGATTAAAAAAGAAAAAGAAACGAAACGAAAGGAACACAACACGCGCTGTCTGAAGGGAAACCTTTCCCGCTGCAAACGTTACCGACGAGCACGCCGCGGGAGAGGCAGCGCTGCCCTGGGATGGCCAGCAGGGCTCCCTCCCGTCCCGAGCCGTTTCTTGCCAGGGTGGAGAGTTTGGACCATCTGGTAGATGAATTTAACCTCATGAAGATTGCCACTACTAGAATAATATATGACTTTTAAGAAATGAGTTCTGACAAAAGAGCCAACAAGTTAAAACGTTTAAGAGAATGTAATCCAACGCATGTCTAGATAGCAAAAAAAACAAAAACAAAAACCAAGCCTACAATTCCCAGCATGACTCAGATAGCATCCCTGGCTGGGGCATGCTGGGAGTGGCAGGCCTTTATTCGGTCTACCCTTGAACAGGATTGTTCCTTTAGAAGAGCAAGTTTGACACCAAAGGTGTTGGCATCCACATCTTCAACACCCTCTCCCATGCCCAAGGTTACACTGAGGTGAAGGCTGCATTTTGTTAAGATAGAAGATTATTGGTTATTCTTTGCTGTTGCGGACTGTTTCAAGGTTTGTATCACATGACATAAATTAGGAAATTAATTATCCTAAGCCTGCAAATCTAAAACAGAAGATCTCAACTAGGACTGCATGAATCTGTCACTGTTTCTAATTTTTCAAAACTTAACTTTGGTTTTTCCTGAACACTGAGAATTTTTCCAATTAAATTCAGCTCATCCCAGATTTTGAGATTTTTTAAGCACATAAATATTTGTACACATTTTGTATGCATTTTCTTTAACACATACATTGTGCCATTTTGCCCAACTTTCCCCCTTTTCAAGTTGTTTCTATATAATGCATTTTTTACATTGCAGTTTTAGTGCACCTTCCCTAGCATGATGGTCTTCTCCAGTGAGTTTTGCCTTCTTGTGATGTGCTTTGCCTTCTTGTGATGTGCCTATCGCTACCAGTGGCTGGAATTCAAGAAACGGAGCCTGGCTCATAGCATCTGATAGAGTAGATATGGTTTTAAGTTTCATCTTTCATGGTTCTTACATTCTTAAGCGCCAACTAAAAAGGGGCACTTAAACTTTGTTGTTGATGATAGTTGCGAAGTCGTGTCCGACCCATCACGACCCCATGGACAACATTCCTCCAGGCCTTCCTGTCCTCCACCATCCCCCAGAGTCCACTTAAGCTCACACCAACTGCTTCAGTGACTCCTTCTAGCCACCTCATCCTCTGCTGTCCCCTTCTTCTTTTGCCATCTATTGTTCCCAGCATTAGGCTCTTCTCCAGGGAGTCCTTCCTTCTCATTAGGTGGGCAAAGTATTTGAGTTTCATCTTCAGGATCTGGCCTTCTAAAGAGCAATCAGGGTTGATCTCCTCTAGGACTGACCGGTTTGATCACAGTACGGTCGAAGTGACTCGCAGGAGTCTCCTCCAGCACCACAATTCAAAGGCCTCAATCCTTTGGCACTCAGCCTTCCTTACGGTCCAGCTTTTGCAGCCATACATTGCAACTGGGAAAACCATAGCCTTGACTATATGCACTTTTGTTGGCAGGGTGATGTCTCTGCTTTTTAGTATGCTGTCTAGATTTGCCATAGCTTTCCTCCCCAGGAGCAAGCATCTTTTAATTTCTTGACTGCAGTCCCCATCTGCGTTCATCTTGGAGCCCAGGAAAATAAAATCTGTCTCTACCTCCATTTCTTCCCCATCTATTTGCCAGGAAGTGAGAGGATCGGATGCCATGATCTTAGTTTTCTTAATGTTGAGTTTCAAGCCAACTTTGCACTCTCCTCCTTCACTCACATCAAGAGGCTCTTTATATAGTTCCTCTTCACTTGCTGCCATTAGAGTGGTATCGTCTGCATATCTGAGGTTGTTAATATTTCACCCGGCAATCTTAATTCTAACTGGTGATTCATCTAGCCCTGCCTTTCTCATGATGTGCTCTGCATATAAGTTAAATGGGCAAGGTGACAGTATACAGCCTTGCCGAGCTCCTTTCTCAATTTTGAACCAATCAGTGGTTCCGTGTCCAGTTCTCACTGTTGTTTCTTGATCCACATATAGGTTTTTCAAGAGACAAATAAGATGGTCTGGTACTCCCATCTCTTTACGAACTTGACACAATTTGTTGTGATCCACACAATCAAAGGCTTTAGCATAGTCAATGAAGCAGATGCTTTTCTGGAACTCCCTAGCTTTCTCCATGATCCAGCGTATGTTGTCAATTTGATCTCTAGTTCCTCTGCTTCTTTGAACTCCTGCCTGTACTTCTGGTAGTTCTCGGTCCACATACTGCTGGAGCCTAGCTTGTAGGATTTTGAGCATGACTTTGCTAGCATGTGAAATGAGTGCAGTGGTGCAGTAGTTTGAACATTCTTTGGTATTGCCCTTCTTTGGAATTGAAATGTAAACTGACCTTTTCCAATCTCTTGGGTTGTTGGAAAAGAGTGTTTGCTATGACCATCGTATTCTCTTGACAAAATTCTACCAGTCTGTGCCCTGCTTCATTTTGTACTACAAGGCCAAATTTGCCTGTTATTCCGGTTATCTTTTGGCTTCCTACTTTAGCATTCCAATCCCCCAGGATGATAAGGACATCATTTTTTGGTGTTAATTCTAGAAGGTGTTGTAGGCCTTCATAGAACTGGTCAACTTCAGCCTCTTCAGCACCAGTGGTTGGGGCATAGACTTGGACTACTGTGATGTTGAATGGTTTGCCTTGGATTCGAACTGAGATCATTCTGTCATTTTGGAGATTGTATCCCACTACTGCTTTTCCTACTCTTTTATTGACTATGCAGGCTACTCCATTTCTTCTGAGGGATTCTTGCCCACAGTAGTATACCTGATGGTCATCTGAATTAAATTCACCCATCCCTGTCCATTTTAGTTCACTGATTCCTAAGATGTCGATGTTCAGTCTTGTCATCTCTTGTTTGACCACGTCCAGCTTGCCTTGATTCATGGATCTTACATTCCAGGTGCCTATGGAATATAGATCTTTACAGCATCAGACTTTCCTTTCACCACCAGATACATCTGCAACGGAGTGTCCTTTCAGCTTTGACCCAGTCGCTTCATTCTTTCTAGCGCTACTAGTATTAGCCCTCCGTTCTTCCCCAGTAGCATATTGGACGCCTTCCGACCTGAAGGGCTCATCATCCGGCGTCATATCTTTTTGCCTTTGGTACTGTCCATGGGGTTTTCATGGCAAAGATACTGGAGTGGGTTGCCATTTCCTTCTTCAGTGGATCACATTTTGTCAGAGCTCTCTGCTATGACCTGTCCGTCTTGGGTGGCCCTGCACAGCATAGCTCATAGCTTCATTGAGCTATGCAAGCCCCTTCACCATGACAAGGCAGTGATCCATGAAGGAGCACTTAAACATACCCTTCACATTAGAGGAATGATTCTTCTAAGGTTATGCCTGGAATGAGAGATGTGTGAATCATCTCAAGATACCTTTTCCTGTTTTGCATTGCCTACTGATTTCCTTCATATAAAACATTGATCTATTAAATGGATAATTAATTTAGTAAGATATCCTTAATTCAATCACCATACTGGTTGGGGCATACTGGAATTACAAGATTTTTTCTGCCTGAACATGCATAGGATTGCACTCTAAAGAGAAGACATTTTCAGCAGACTAAGGTGTACTGAAATGGGTATGTTCATGTGATCTGCTTCAACCTGTTATTCTGAGGCTTAATTTTTAATCTCTTCTATGTCTATGATCACTTATGCCTCACTCCAAAGGAGAGGACCATAATTTACATAAAATTTGCATTTGTTAGTTTATAGATAATCTGTAAATCTAAAAATGCTGAATGGGTTTAGAAATAAGAATTTAAATAGAAATCTCATCACAGTGGAAAAACTATGAATTGTATACCTGTTGGTGAACAATTTCAAGGTTCCTGCTCTTTGTTACAATTCTTGAAGTTTAAAGCAGACTTGGATTACACAGTGCTTCAAACAGAGGATGTCTTCAGGGTATGGTGGTCTGACAGACCTTCAACAGGTAGAACACATGTCAAATGTACTTGCTTCTTTGTTTTAAGCCTTGGAACCATTTTATCTACTTTATTACATAGATTTCATCTTTCTTCTATCATAAAACACAAGGTGACTATATGGGATTCTCATGTGGTCTCCCGCCCAGGCTCTGAGCAGACCCAGACCTGCTCAGCTTTAGCAAGGTGACTGCTTCATGTGCCTTCAGGCCATGCCAAGGGAAATAAACACTTTAATTTGCTTTGGGGGCACCAAGTCTGGAGGTTGGACTGCAGACTAGGCTAATAGTCAGACAAGCTTTCCTGTATGGTATCAGATTTGATGGATCTTTGGTCTGTATTGTTAAAAGAACTCTGCTCACCAGTCTCATTCCAGCACTGATGCTGGTTAATCCAAAGATGCATGAATGAATGTTGGTGTTGTGCTTCTCCTGTATATATGTGGAACTCTTATTTTTCTGTTTTATCATCTGCCTTTCACACATCTCCCATGAAATTCCACATCAATTCTCCAAGCCTTCCATCTTAAGGGAATACATAACACATCTAAATACATAAATTAAAAAAAAAACAGATATAGAAGAGCATGCAGAGATTGATTTCACTAACCTGGAAGTTGTAAGATTTTAAAAAACACAAATGGAATGTGCTTGTTAGGATGGTAGAAATTTGATATATTCAATTCCTTAATTTAATGATGAGCATCCATTCTGGATCACAACAAATTGTGGCAAGTTCGTAAAGAGATGGGAGTACCAGACCATCTTATTTGTATCTTGAGACCTGTATGCAGGTCAAGAAGCAACAGTGAGAACCGGACATGGAACCACTGATTTGTTCAAAATTGGGACAGGAGTACAGCAAGGCTGTATACTGTCACCCTGCCTATTTAACATATGCAGAGCACATCATGAGAAAGGTGGGGCTAGATGAATCACTAGTTGGAATTAAGATATTCCTATGCAGATGATATGCAGATTATACCACTCTCATGGCAGAAAGTGAAGAGGATCTAAAGAACCTCTTGACGCGGGTGAAGGAGGAGAATGCAAAAGTTGGCTTGAAACTCAACATCAAGAAAACTAAGATCATGGCATCCAGTCCTATCACTTCCTGGCAAATAGATGGGAAAGAAATGGAGGTAGTGACAGATTTTATTTTCCTGGGCTCCAAGATCACCGCAGATGGGGACCGCAGCCAAGAAATTAAAAGACGCTTGCACCTGGGGAGGAAAGCTATGGCAAATCTAGACAGCATACTAAAAAGCAGACATCACCCTGCCAACAAAAGTGTGTATAGTCAAGGCTATGGTTTTCCCAGTTGCAATGTATGGCTGTGAAAGCTGGACCATAAGGA